TTTCTATGAATGCTTGCCAATATTTTAAAAACTGATCTGTGTACGCTGCTTTGGTCTGCCCTTTTGGCTTGAGCATTCATGTGATTGTGTTTTACCAGAATGTATGTACAGACTAGGAGTGTAGGAAGGCCAGCTCTGAGGGATGCTGTACCACATGGCCTTGCAGTAAGTTTTGCCACGTCCATGTGGTGGTAACTGCCTTTGGTGGGATATGGCAGTGACTGTTGCTTCCGTCTCATGGCCAGAGGCTCCCCTTCAGCTGGCTGAAATGTTTTGGGGGTTCACAACTGCTGCTGAAATACTGCACTCTAAACACAGTAACTGCTAGGGACAGAAACATGGTTTGTTGTGGGCTCCAGGGCCTGTGGTTCAGGAGCAGAAATGATGCCATGTGGCTCAGCTGGACCACTAATCTGGCAGAGCTGCTGCTAGACTATTTGCAGGGAGCTCTTCATGACATGCAATTTTTCTGCAGCTTTGCAAAAGCCTACTTGAATCATTGCCAAGGATGGATGTAGCCAGGAAATTGCACTTTACTTGTGGCCACTTCATGGTCACAAACTATCCAAGGTTCTTGGATGAAATGGGATCATTTTACTGATAATATTTTTATTTTGCCTGCCAGGGCTGAAGCCTGGGCATCACTTTGGAAAGCAGTTCATGCAGGTTTAACAATACTTGGAGAATTAAAATGTTCATGCAGCTTGAGGTCTGTCTGTTCCTTGTTAGCTGGCTCTAGGCAGCGTTCTGAATCTTTCTTTGGAGGTGTTTCAGCTCTCTTCACAGATTAATACCACGTTTTTATCAATTAGCTTTAAAAAAACACCAACAAATTAACAGCATGTGCAGTGAAGGAGCCCTGTATGGGTAATACCAGAAGTTTAACATCAGTTCACTTCTCCTCAGTAGCCATTTTTCTTTCACCTCTTCCCCCTTTCCTGCTAGATAATGGCCTACACTATTTCCTGAGTCATTTCACAGCATTAGGATTAGGAAAAGCAAACAGTATCTTTAATAATAAGCCATTTTAAAATTACATATATGTTTGAACTGAATTGTACTTAGGAACCCTACCCTCAGAATGGTGAATAGTTAAAAGCAAAACTTCTGGTCCCATTGTTGGCCTGATGTGTTAGTATGGGAGGGCTTTTGAATTTAGAGTATCTTCAGAGTTGACAGTATGTTTAAACATGTAAGTATCTGAACTAATCTTTGAGTTTTAGCACTAGATGAGCTTGAGGTCCATTTGCATGTTTAGTATCATTTTGTTGTCTGTATGTAAAATGCTTTTTGTTCACAAAGCTGAATGTAAATGAGCATTACTAAAATTTTACATGCAGCAACAGTGTAAAAAAATTATCTTTTGTGAAAAAACAAATTATTTATTTAATTTTAGATATTTCATCCTTTTATATTTATGACCCAATAAATTTTCTTTTAAAGCCTATAGTACAATTTTTGGAGTGCCAGAAGGCACTTATACCATACTCTGATATTTCATTTTCATCTAATTTTCATGCATCTGTGAAGCTAAACCTGTAAAGTCTGACTTGTGTTCCACACAATCTCAGTTTTTACGAAATGGGAATGCAAAGCAGAAGAAGAATTAAGTATCCTGAATACAAATTATTAGAATTTGGCTTCTGGTTAATGTGTACTCCACGTGGCTGGAAACAACAGCTAATTTTTGATTACTGTGTACTTCATTCTGGCCAATAAATACACAACTAATATTCTGACATTTCAGCAATTTTCAGCCTTATGTGAACAGCAAACAATGTTTGCATGAGATGGCTTGACCAACAAATATTGGTGGAGTGACCATGATATTTATGAACAGAAAATAGAAGCATAAGCAATGCTTTCTATATATTGTCCTCATCACTGATAGGTATTGTGTCATTCCCACAGGTACAATCACAGTGTAAAGCTGAAATATAGTCTAAGTCTGAAATGCATATACATTAAATATATCCTTTTTCTCTGAGCAATTTTCATTCTGTTAATGCAGTTTCATGCAGACAGTGGAAGCCATTTAATGCAATGAATATTCTGTTGTTTCTGTCAAAGATAAAAAATATATTTGGGTGTGTTAGGTTGAAGCATTAACATTTTTCTCTACACAGAGCTTCCAAGATAGACTTGACTATCCCTGTATTATGTCAGATTTTTTTACTGGTGTAACTCTGTGTAACTGGTACATATTGGTTTGAGTGCAATGGCTTCAGTAGACATGACCTGGGGATGTGGTTTGGTATACTTAACGTAGAATTCACTTGTGCATCAGTGTAGTTGGAGCACATTAAAGAAGTTTATAAACGACATATGCATTGGCTATAGGTGTAGGGAGACATAATGCCATTGTTTATTCCACAGGATCTAGAGTAAATCAGTCTTGAGAAATGGTCTCAGGAACTACTTGGTTTAGAGTTACATGAGGATATCACCTGCATATTATTTCTTAAAGCAAATATTCTGCCTTAAAGGGATATGCGCCATGCAGGTGGAAAAGACAGCAATCAGTCGAGACAGTTAAATAAAATACCAAAGAAAGCCAGAAGCATGATTTCCATCAACTTGAGTGGAATTAGTGCCAAGATCTCTACTGTTTGCATTATGGTGCTGTGCTAGAGCATTAAGTCATTGCCAGCAACATCCATGGAAATATGTGGCTTGCTTGGAGTTCCCTTAAGGAAAATGTCTCAAGTTTTGACCCTGATCCATCTCCTGGCCTTTGTGCTGGCAGCTTGCTTGTTGAGAGATTTAGTGAATGGAGAAAACCTATCTTTTCCTATTCCTCTATGTTTATTTGCAGGAGCACGCTATCTGTCTGAAGCAACAACTTATTCAATTCTGATTTACCCAGATATGTCCTGGTTGTATCACATATCATTATCAAAAAAGAGCAAGGAACTGTAGAGAGTTAGGAAACCATAACAGGGAATATCAAGGACAGGCCAACATGTCTGACAAAAATCATGTGGCATGAATAAGGTGCTGGAGCAATGATTAAAGGGAATAGGGCATTATGGCAGCCAAGGAATATTTAAGACATGTGAAAAGGAAGGAAAAGAATTGAGTGTGGCACTTCCTGTATATCAAGTTGTATTTTTAGCAGTGGAAGGTTTTACCTGACTGTGAGGGAAATTTGATAATGGCATGAGGAATATGGCTCCCAAGGAAGGGAGGAAAAGCTCTTCACCTGAGAGTTTGGGAACGGCAGCATATAAAACATTAGCAGCAGGTAAAAGATACTGTCAAGAACAAGTTCTCAGGTTCAAGAGGATGGCTGAGATTATCTGGCAGATCTTAACCTTCTTCATCTCCTGTGCTTCTTCAGTGAGTTATCCTTTCCAATTTATACACCCTACTAGTTGCATGGAAGCCCCTTGTGTATGTAAGATAGGTAATACTTGGCTGCACATTGTTGGCTGTTTTAAGCTCGTTAGGACACAGTTCCACATTTGATGGTCTTGTGTGGAAGAGAAGCTTTAGAATACTACTGTCTGATGTAAATTATTCCATTTTGTAAATGTTTTGCAAGCATACACCTCAAGTGTAGGCAATTATTTCCTTCTGGAGTATATTTATATTTAATTAGAAACACCAGTCTCAATTAAAAGCTCTAGCAGTAAAATGCTTATCAACTTATAATTACAGTTGAAATTTTCACTAAGCTTGTATGAATTCAGATAAAAAATAGAGGTAAGTATTTAAAAAATGTATAGTTAGGTTTCCACAGCATAGATTATTGCTTTGGAAGATCAGCAGACTTAACAGTCAGAAAACTTATTATGATGCCGTAATAGGAAACCTAATTTAGAGTGGCCTTTATTTTTAATTCCAGGAGAAAAACCCTTAAAAATGAACAACATGGCATAGATACATTTATCTATTTATCTATCTTTCATCCCGTTTATTGATTGATTGGTTGGTTGTTTTGTTTTTTTTTTTTAATTAGGTTATTTCTAGAGATTTGGACTAACTACAGTACAGGATCCAGAACCATTTATTTTCTGCGTAAACCAAAATCAAAGTGACAAACATTTTGATGCTGATCGCATTTTTTACAAGTAAGCGTGATATATCTATTTTCAAAAGGAAAAAATATTCCAAGTTTCATAGCTGATCAGCACAAGCAGAAATTAAGAGGTAATAAAGATTAATGGAAAAGCCCATGAGCTTTATAGAAAAAATTAAGGGATTATTAGATGATGAAGACCTTTCTAAGATTTGGAAGCACTTTTTAGATATAACAGAGACTTTTGTTTAATTGATTCAAAGGTTCTATAGAAATTTTATCCAATATCTAATTCTGTGGCTTCATTTTGCAATTTTTTTTTGTTGTATTAAGCAGACCCTTCCATAGCAAGTGGTTTATTTAAATTGAGAGCACTTTTCCATCAAGAACAAATTTACTGTCAGGATAGCAGAATCAGGCCCTGTAGTTAGTGCCTGTAGAACTCAGCTGGATTGTCTCATTGAATTTTATAGAAGTTATTCATCAAAGTTTCTTATTTATTGAATATCTTATTGGTTCAAGTACTAATGACAGCATTGGTGTACAAGTGGAAGAGACTGGATTCTTTTTCTATGATATCATGCTTACTAGAGTTATTTAAAGTAACTTTTTCCAATGCATTATACTCATTATTTCAGCAGTATATTATTGAAACAACATGTTCAATCCTAATATTTAGGAGAAAACTCACATATTTATAGCAATTACAGAATTAAATTTTAAATTTGCAGAGTTTCATTCTTATAAATATAGTGAGAGCTTTGCATATTGTAGTTAGGCTACACATGTAAAATAACTTTGCTCAATTAAAGAGTAATTACCTGGTTTATCATTGTTTGCCTTAAAAATATCACCATCTTGAAAGAAGAAAAAACACCTTTTGGGGCAGGACTTTACATACTGACTTTTTGGAGGACTGTTGTTATGAATATCACCTAAGCTCAATGGCTAATCAATTAGATCTATGTTTTCTTTGCAGCTCTTTCCAAACACTTTTTTCTCCGAGCCCCGCCATTCTACTCAGCATGCTGTGGTGGGTCCTGTCAGCACCCTGCATCCCCCACTGCTTTTCCAAGTAAGTTTTTATGCTTCATCAGTAATGCTTGAGTTATTCTGTAAACCAAAGCAGCAGGATTTAATGTGTTCTGGAAAACTAATTGGTGATGCAATGGCAGCAGCTAATTCCTTAGTAAAATCACAGCAATCCTATTCAGAGGGTTTCCAAAGATTTATCAAACTTAAGTACACTGAGCAATTGTGAGAGGTTTCTAATGGCATTGAGACACCCAGACAGAGCTAACCTAGGAAAACTCCTTGTTTTCAGTTTGCTAGAAAAGATTCTTTAAAATCAGTAACTCTTAAAAATCTGTGTCAGTAAACAATTGCAAATCAGAAAAGAGCTGAAAGATCTTAAAGTGGATGCTGCATTTTAATGTCTGTTAGGGATAAATTATGATTCAGGAAGCCCTATCATTATTTAAATAAAACAGTCATTCTTGTTGTAGCAGTCAAATGCATGCACATGTTTAATTTGTTTTTCTTTTTTAATTATAATGTAAAAACCTGAAGAAGTAAGTTGAAGAGAAGTTTGACCAGTATACACTATACATTCAGGATTAAGACCTGGAATGCATTTCCATTTAATCCAAACCTAAATTTAACCTTGATTGGGAAGTTTGTGTGGCATAGTGTAAGAATGGACGTTCATGATTTTATGTGTTTATTGGCTCAGGAGTACAAATGGAAGAAAGATTTCCTCATCTTTCAAAACAGAGAAAAAGCACAAATTGTGTCAAGTCCAAATGGAAATTGGAGTTTATGCATGCTCTAGCATATACTTTTTTATCACAGTTGCATTCAAACCCTTCCTGACTATGTGCATGTGTTTTATGAATGTTTCAGAAGGGCAGTTGCTAAGTTGAATGATTCTTGACAAGTGAGGCAGCAAATGCTGGCAGTTTAATGAGCTGCAAGTTTCTGAGCACCTCTTTAGGGGGCTGACACTTTCCCACAGAGCGTTTTACATGGCCCTGGCTCTCCCACAATGGCTGACAGCACCATGACCAATCACCACTTTCACTTTACTCATCCACACGCGACCTCGCCACAATTTTTCACTGTGCAGATGAACTTTAGGGACCATTTCACATTGAAAAGGCCTGGGCAAGGGTCACTTGCCCTTTTGTATGACCATAAAGCAATACTCTATGTGCCAGTCTTTTCTCCTGTCTCACATTCCAAGAGATTTTCTGGACACCATTTAAAGCACTTGACTGAAAAATAAAGCAGTGAATGAAACTGACTTTTATAGACTCATTCTAGCTCATCTTCCCATATAACCCTGTCTACCTGAAAAGGGATTTAGTGGATGAGCTGAGTGTATACAGGGACTTGGCTGAATACATAGGCCCATTATCAACTGTGGGGATTGTTTATTAACCGGGACTGATACACTACTATTTTGGAAGTGACCTATTAATTGTCCATTTAACTAGAATGTATTGAATTCAAATGAAAAAATGGAAACCATGACTAAAGCTTTTACTTGCTCCTTCAAGGTGGTCTCTGCCATGAAGGCAAATGGAGATTGTTCCACAGATTAAGAGGACATTTATCACTATATATTAGGATACAAAGGAAAGACTTAAAAAAACCCAAAGCAAAGCAAAAATCAAACCAGCAACGTAGGAAATAGTTGGTAACGGATTCACATTTGTGTCAGCAGAACACTAAACCTTTTGATGCACGTTCAGATCAAGAAGCTGCAAACTGACTGATTTCATTTTGATGGAATTGTTGAAATGTATGAAAGTGCCTATCCATCCATACTGAAAAATCCTTTAATCTACAACCCAAAATTTAGTTTTTGTGTGAGCAGTTGGAATGCATTTTGGAATATGGGGTATTAAAAACATTCTCTAGTCTAGTCAACTGGGGGTGAGTTTCAAATTTTTTGACCCAGTGGTTGTTTGTTAATGCTTGTGAGCATTCTGCTCATCATTAAATTTTCAGTTAATCTTCTAAAATCAGTCACATACTGTGCCTTAGAGTGTGTAGATTGTTCACTATTAAGTCAGTCTAATACAGGTGTTAAGTTGTACCCTAACATACTGCCTGTACGGGAATTAATTGACACCGCAGGGCTCCAGCAGGAGGTTGTTTCTTTGCTGATTGACTGTTAACAACCAGCCAGGCAAGACAAATTTTAAGGGGTCACATAATCTGGTATCCTCTGTCCTTGGCTGACAACTCCATTGTGGCATGGAGGCTAGGAGGCAAGGACCAGCCCTGTTACGCCTCTTCACTCGCTGGTGTCTGTTGTCCTGTGGTGGGGATGAGAGAAGGTACCAGCACTTCTGCTGTCAGATTGTACCTTTCAGTAAACTTGAGAATGGCTGATGATTCATCAGAAATTCCTTGTGGACAACTTGGAAAAAGGTACCTATATTCACCAAATTTGAGCAAGAAAGAGAGAAAATATGCTTGAAGAAGGGCCAGTATTTGCTCATAGCTTAGTGGGCAGGATAGAAGTTTGGGGTGGAGTTTGTGAGGGGCCTATGCACTCCTCAGAGAAATAAGAACCTGGCTTGCCATTTGCAGAAACCTCCATTTTGGCTTTTTGACTTTTGTTCTGAAGATAGTTTATTTTGGTTTGGAGGGAGTATAACTGTCTCACTGTATAATAAGTATTAGGACAGTAACCAGTAGGTTATGATTTTGTATCTGGTATCAGACACAATTTTGAAAATTGAAATACATCATATAAATTCAGACTTATGCTGTAACATTTTAAATCATCATAATTACTTTTTGTCACAGGCTGTTAGGAGGGACAGATATAAAGATGGGTTCTTAAAGTATAGAAAAATTCAAGAAAGGCATGTCTAGCAGAATGCAGTGGTCCCTAAATCAGTTATGTTTCACAGGAACAGTGTATTTTGGGGAAGAATCATTGTACACTTGTTCAGTTTCTGATATTTTCCTCTACTGGTCACAGCTAGAGACAGGATACAGGGGTAATGTATGTAATATCAGTCACACATGCACCAAAAAAGCATTTAGTGAACTTTACAAGACACGCACATATGCACTTCATTTTCTCATCATTACACATACACTGTTCTACAGTGTCCTCTGTATATGTGTGTTTGTTTCTCGGTGGGTGTTTAAAGATACACATGCCCATGTGTATATATGTATAATATACAGAAGCTGAAATGTGGTGTGGCCCCAAGGAACCGTTTGTAGAAGCTGCACCTGGATTTAATTAGTACTTTCAAGAGGCTAATATCTATTGAACAAATGTATTTCATCCCCGCCCACCGTTACATGGGGAGTTTGCCATTGGCTTCAATATGAAAATAAGCAGATCCTTAATAGAAGCTGAACAGCAGCACACCTTTGCAGTTGCTCGAACTATATACTGGGATTGCAATCTTGGCCCATGTACGTGGGAACTGTGTGATAAAAACCAAAGCCACCTTTGTGGCTGCCCTCCTACAGAAAGATCGTAGGTATCAGTGGCTGTTGAGCTATGACAGAGGTTTCTGAGTTCACGTGCAGCTCTTTCCTGGCCTGCTTGCAACTGCCCCATGCAGTTCATTGAGTGTTTGATGACAGGCCCTATTCAACTGGCTTCTGGTATTGCTCCATGGGTGAGCATTTGGGGAAGCTAGGAGTGCTGGGGGCATACCAAACCTCACCAGGGACACCACCTCCTAGGAGAGAGGGATCATGGGAAAGCACTATGACTGTAGGCTTTATTGGGTGTGAGGAAGGCAAGAGATTATCTGGATTTGGGGTTTCTGTGCTCTTTGTGAGGCCAATGAAGGGACAGTGCGAACACTTCTACTTCTCCACTGCAGCACTGTCCCCCAGCTTTGAGGCTGTTTTCCAGGGTTGGGTTCCCTCTAGACATGATTCAAGGGGATTGTGATTGGACTCATTGAAAATTGCCCTCCCAAGACTTGCTATGAGATGTCAAAGGATTAGAAGCCAGGTTGAAAGGAGTAAGTCCAAGTACTCTGCAAATCCTCTAATAAAGAAATTGCTGTGGTTTCCAGAATAAGTAAGTGAATGGCCAGGGATTTTCTGAGAAACAGTTCACTCTGAAAGCCTTTTGTTAGTAAACAAAAGTAAAGAAAGCCTGTTTAGTTTCTTAGTATTACAGACCACTTTTATCTGGTTCTACATTTCACACAAAGAGAGAATAACTTCCAGAAAACTTAACTGCAGTTTACTCAGTGATGACAGGCAAAGGAAAGTGGAGAAGTTTCTCCCTGGCTATATTTGAATTTTGTAGTAGCATGGGCCCTGTGTTCGTGTTCCCTATGAACTCATCTGATTTACTTTTTACCGTGTCAAGGAGAGAATCTTGATCACTGACAACACCTCTAGATCCAAGTGAGGATTTAGTCCTTAATGAACATGACTGAAGTGTTATGACACACAACACCAACAAATCAAGAGTGGTACAGTAGTCTGCTAGCATAATAATGAACAGCACTTAATATTTTTCTGGTATGTGTTAGATATCATGTGAAACTCTCATCCATTTCTACTAGGAGAGGAAAGTGTGTTGCCTCTTCTGACCCAGGAGTCTAACTCCAAAGCCCGGAGAGGTATATTAAGAAGAGCTGTCTTTTCCGAAGACCAGAGGAAAGCTTTGGAGAAAACGTTTCAGAAGCAGAAGTATATTAGTAAAACAGACAGGAAGAAACTGGCCATTAACCTGGGTCTAAAGGAGTCTCAGGTAAGGAATGACAGAACATCTGTGACTTTCTGTCTTTTTGAGGAAAAAAATCTTAAAATGGCTTTGAAGGAGGAAAATTTAACAGCACAGGGGCAGCCTCGAGCTGCTTCACTGAGCAAAGACCTCAGTATATCAATGGCAGTTTTAACCAACAAATGCTTGAAGAGCTTCCTGGTTTATTTCTTGAATGTGTACATTCACAAATTGATTGCTGCGTTTTCACACAAAGTGGGAGAAACACAACCTCTGCGTTTTATTTCCAACTCCCATTTTGCTGTCTGACAGAGCTCCCTCCTTGGGGTAGGGAACTATGTTCCATCTCACTGCCTGATAGGCAGTGATCCAGGCAGAAAACAGCAGAGCATAGGGCCCTCCTGCATTCCTCTGAGCACCATTTGCACTCGCAGATGAACAACTAGTGACAGTGCAATCAACAGCACTTGGTCTGAAACCATTCTGCCCCAAGAGACAGGCAACCATCCCTACAGAAAGCTTAGCTGCACAAGGAAAGAGATGCTCAGAGCTCACAAGGAAAGAGATGCTCAGAGCTCAGAGAAACTGTAGAAGGAAAATTTTGCAGGGTAACCTTCTAAAATGCTCTCACTTTACTTAACACTTCACATGTCATGGCATTTTTCACCTGAGTCTGAGTTGGCCTACTGCAGAACTTCAGAGTTTAGCTGAGGGTCTAATAGCTCCAGTGAGCTGTTTTAACTCAACAAGCAGGTTAATGGTGCTGCTGAGTGGCAGTAACCCAATCTGGAATCTCAGGGGCCTGACCTAGCTGCAGATAAAGGAGAAATGCCTCTCTTGAAGAGCACAAAACCTGAAAGATACTGGAAAAAATGTTTGTGATGGCATGTAACAGCAGAAAATGAACATGGTAGCTGCTGGCAGGTGGGATTCTGAAGGTGTCACAGTAGATGCAGATCTCTGGAGTACAGCTGAAAGAGTGAGAGAGTGAAAGTACAGTTTTATTTCTTTGCATGCAGCAAGAGTGAAAGTCCTTAAGATAGATATGGCAGAAGCTGTCTGAGTGTCAGAAAAGCCTGGGTATGGTGATGGGAGCTCTTATCAGCTTTAGCTTTGGAGATGATCAGAACTTGATAAGGCCCTCAGCAATTTGGTCTAACTTTGCAGTTGGCTCCACTTTGTACAGGAGGTTAGATCTTGTAGTCTGTAGTTGTTCCTTGCAACCTGACTGACACTGACTCTTGACTCCATTGCAAGCATGACAACTATAAACAGAAAAAGCAGCAGTGTAGTGCTTTTCAGTGTGATGAACAGAGCTGTAATCTCTGCAAGGATAAGCTATTTCAATGAAAATGTGTAATTGCACTCACCAATGTGCTACGTAAAAAATTCCCAGTATGTAGTCAAATTTCCAATACTACAGTTGTTTCCTTGAGTTTGTCTTCTGCATTCTTGATATTAAGGCGTGTCTGGTGGAGTAGAAAGTTATGAAATGACACATAGATAACAACCACTACAGGAAAATAATTTCATGATAATGATAGACCAGATGATATTAGTGTTTTGGGGTTTTTTCCTCACAAGAGGAAGAGCAGTTGCCATGAAGGTTACTTCAATTTTCTGACCAGTTGTGCTGGAGGAACAGCACTTTCCATCTAAGGCATTGATTCTCAAACCTTTGAAAGCATATCCTCTTTGTCTTCATGTTAAGTATCTGAATACTAGAACTAAATGCAAATATTTAAGAGAAAATAGAACACAATCTGAATATTTTGATCCCCCAGCATTTCTTCTCTTTATGTAAAACCAGTTCCTAGATGTATATTTCCCCAAGCTTTTCCCAGCATTTCATAAATGTCTTTGAACACTCGTGATTAAGCTTTGCAACTCAAGGTGTTTGAAAAATAGATTTTGTCTCAAAAGCACATGGATTCTAGGCAATCCTGGAAAACTCTAGTCAGGCAGACAAAATGTCTTTAAATCCTCACTACTGCGTCATATGTAATAATACATTTTTTAAGTTGTGTGGCCAGGCTGTTTTTAGCTATGCTTGTGAATGGGACAGTCATAGTTCTTAGAGCCTCTTTTAAATAGAAGGCTTCACATTGCCAGTAATATCTCACTTAGTTTTATTAATGACAATGCTATTTTAGTCTGAGAATCCTTTTCTGTCTAGAAGGATGTTGCTATAGGAAATTCCTATGTCCCTAGCCACTGAGTTGTCTTTTTTTTTCCTTTCTAAGCCAGATAATCACCTGTTTGAGATGGTAAAAGTCACAGACAGTATTTGGCCCAGCTGTAGCAAATAGTGATGGGAAAATCTTCAGATAATATCAATTAGTCAGCTTTATTGGATCTACTACAACAATGAATAAGGAAGGAATATGAAACTAAGGGGATGGAAATAAAGAAACCCTTGTTAGGGCAAAGTTGTTTAAAGAAAAGAATGATAAACTTTCATTAACTTGCAAACAGGTGAAAATTTGGTTTCAGAATCGAAGGATGAAATGGCGAAACTCCAAAGAAAAAGAAGTGCTTTCGAACAGATGCCTTCAAGAGGAAGGTCTTCAGGAGAACTACCTCTCACGATCCACCATGAATTTTACCTCTCCATGCCCATCTGTGTGGGAAGTGTCTCAGGAGCAGGCAAGTCCTAGGTGGAGGGAGAATTCTCCAGGAAATTCTGAAAGACTGACTAGTATACAACCACCTTCAAGAGCAAATTCATCACAGAGTCCACTGTGTTTGTATCCTGACCAAGATACTGCAAATAAGGCAGTTACATCATCAGCATAAGGAAATAGGGGCAGTTTGTAAATTGAGTGGAGAGCACAGGCTTCAAATGAGCAGTCTTCTAAGACTAACAGTATTTGGACATTGTAAAGCTAACTAGTTTATGCCTCATAAATTTGCTAAAGTCTAACACCATTAAATTGACAAACAACTAATGATTTAAGAAGTATTCTTCAATACTCAGTCTTTTGTTGTGTCTTTTCCAGTCTTGTACTGACCTTAAAAGTGAAATAGGAACTGATGGTAAGTAAAATGGAGTGAAGAGCATGAAGCTGAAGTTGTGCTCTGATTTATACATCTGCACTCTATATGATATTCATTAAAAACACACTGATAATCACTTTTGCCTCTCATTGTGGTCAGACCAATTAATTTCGTTTGTACAGGAGATAAGAATAACCATGTTTCCCGCAAGACAGTAAATTGCTTTGGGTTCTTTTTGAAATTCATTAAATGATGCAATACATTCATATTAGAGAAACATAAGCATTTTTAGTGTGCTTTCTCTGTCTGTCCTCACCTGTGTCAGTATTCGGCTAGTTTTAAATACTGTGGTCACAGGTCAGCTGATAACCTTGGTAAAGTATGCAATACTAAAAGAGGCCAACCAACCCTATAAAATATTCTGTGTTTAAATCACTTTGATTTGAATGCATACTGGGAAACACAACTCAATAACTCCTGTATTTTCTTCTCTGGATGAGCCTTCCAGCATTCTTAACTCTGCGTTTCAGTGGCTTTTGTCAGACTGTTAGTGCAATCTCATGTAATCTCTTCTGTATTTCAAAACTGTAACAGCAGTATGCAGAATTGTAGCCCAAATACACTAAGCAACAGAACTATAATTGGAAAAACTGCCATACAGCCATCTCAGAGAACTTAAGGAGATGGCGTACTGTGGTAGCCTTATTCCTGACATCCTATTTAAACTGGTGCCAATAACTACACATTAGCATATGTCTGTATCAAAGACAGGACAGTATTGTGTAGTACAAGTAGCCTCAAATAATATTACATCTGCTTTACTTAAAATTATTTGCTTGCTTCATCCACTTTAAGGAAATCTCTATGGATTTAAGTATAAATTTTTATTTGCAAGGCTTTGTAGCTCAAAATGGGAGCAGAACTGTTTTTTCTTTATCATACATTTAAAAATGCATCTGCTGAGAAGAAAGACTAAAGGTATTTTGTTACAGGCAAAACCTTTTGGAGAACATTATGGTATTATAGGGGCTAATAAATTTCTGGCAGATTCATATATTTTATAGTCAGAAGTGATGATGATGATAATCTAGTCTGGCTTCGCTCATCATGCATGCCATGAATGTTTCTAATTATTCTTGCCTTGAGCTCCAAAGCTTTTTGAACTGCATTGTACGTCTTTCCAAAAGCTGCACAATTTTTACTTAAATTTTTACTTTTTGGTGGATGATCTGCTATTCCCCTGGTTACATTGCCTTATCTGGGATGTGAAGTTTAGATACATTTGCAACTAAAAAACTTTGAGATTGCAGTGATGAATGTCGTATCATAAACTTTGTTCATGATCAGGTGAGTTTTGTATCCTACCTTGTGCATATCCTGCCTTCTAAGTCGTCAACTGTGCAGTCCTAGTCTTGCACTATATATCATTCTTTGCATGTGATTTCCTATGCTTGTTTTAAAGAAAAAAAAATTACAGAAAAATTAAGAAGTCATCTTTTCCTATGGTTATAAACCCTTGTTAGCATGAGCTACCTGGATACCTCCCCTCAGAAGGTGCTTGAACACATTCAGTATGCCATGTGTTATATGCTGTTCAGCAATGTGAGAAGTTTATTCCTATCCTTCAGTTGAAATCCCAGAACCAACTCATATTCTTCTTAAAACTTTTAGAGATGGACAGACAGGTTGCATACACATGGGGATGAACTTACCATCCAATTGTCCTGTTGCAGTCATAGTCCTGCCCTGTTTGACTAACTTCTACTTGAAGGACCATTAAGTGTTGGTGACACAAATTCTTCTGAAATAGCATTTGCTAGTGTCTGCCTACAATGAAAGGCATGCAGGTATTTCCAAATTACCATCAAATGATCAAGTGGAGGTACACGTGCATGGGGGTATTTGTAAGTGCTTTCTGTTTTAGAGGAAATTGCTGTATGGTGGGGGTGTTTGGGGTTTTCCCATCTCACCTTTCAGGGAAAGAGAATCTTCACAGCTGCTCATATTCTTTTACTGCAAGTCAGTTGAGCATCAGTGTTAGAAGAAACACTTCTGGAGAGTAGATATGGGATTCAGAGTGCTCCCTGGGAAATCCTTGCAGTTGATGGTGTTGCAAGCACCAAATGTGAACTGCTGTCAAAACTCTGAGCTGATGTGCTAAACAGAATACATCTGAAGGATGTCTCATTGAGGCAAAGATCAAGCAAGGCTCACGGCAGATTTGGTTTCAGTTACAATGTTGTATGTGTTTAAATTGAGCAAGTTCTGGTTTCACTGTAGCCTTCTAAAACTTACACCATTACATGGCCCTCCAAATCTCTTAACACCTCCTACCAGTACTCTTATTCCACAGCTTAGAATAAAGTTTCAGTGTGCCAGATAAAACATTATTTACTTGGAAATGCTGATCAAGCTTTCTTAAAAGCCCTAAAAGCATACATGTGAATTTTGAATTATACTAAAACCAGTCTGATTCTATGATATTAGTCAGAATGGATTTAGGCCCATGACACGTACAACCTTCATTCCTCTCATTTTAAGCTATTTAAAGGAAAAGTTTCCCTTCAGTCTATACTGTGAAAACTCAGTAAATGAGGAACAGCACCCAGTATGAATAAAAAAATATGGTATATTTACAGTGCCAGTCTTTTCTGTGTGAAGGATCAAGTAGTAAGGATTCGTTTTCTTCAAAAAATGTATGCACACTAGTTATGAAAGAACAAAGAGAGCACAAATTATATGCACAATCCCCAGCAGATGTTTGAAGTGCTTTGTGAGAGGTACATTGCAGAGGTGTAATGCATAGAATGCATCTGGTATTACGGAGTGACGTGAGAGATACCAATGGCACTTCAGAGTTAAAACCAGCAACATATTACTTTGACTTCAAAGATACGACCTAGTAGATGACCTTGCAGCATGGTTCTAGGGTATCTTGAGGTATTTCTTAGATGTGGCATTTTGAGACTATAGTTCCAGGCTGTAGAGTATTATGAAGGACATTTGTTAGGATCCTAGGGCTGGGGATTGTTCAGGTACCTCAAATGGTGAACTGCAGTTAAAAAACCGAACTCTTTAGAGGCCACAAACAAAGCAGATACTTATACCCGTTGGGCACCTCTCTGTTTAGTCTGGCAACTTATCAATGCTAATGTAATACATACAGCAGGGAAAGGGCTGAGACTCAGTACTCTCTTTGTTACCTGGGCTGCAGACTCCTGTGCCCTCAGGCTGTGCTGCTTACAGAGGGATCCTGCTCCCTAACAGAATAGCCTCAGGAACAGGGGAGGCTTTTCTCACCCCACCTGTTGGAGATCCTCCAGATGGGTCTGAATGCAGACCTTGAAAGTCTATTCTTAAGGTCAGGCACTCAGATGAACTTCTCTCATACCTAACAGAAGGTGCCAAGTTCCTTTTCTAGGTCTGGCTCTTGGTCTTTTAAAAGGTATATCACACATGGTGCAGATGATGCTAGTCTACATCAGGCTCAGCCACAGTCACGTTTTACTGCATGTAAACAACTGTGAGACTGTGAACATGTGAGGCGAGCCAGCTCCTTCATGGACCTCATATAACACTGCTCACAGCTGGATGTGCTCAGCACACCTGTGTCAGCCCTTAGACTTTGCTTGTACAGATTTATAGTGTGAAATAATTTTCTAAAAGTTCTCTCATTTTTATTGCTTCTTTGCCAAACAGGAATTAGTTGTTATGATCTGCTGAGGAGAACAGGACTGCTTTAAGGCACACAAACTAACTTCAGTGTCAGAACAATAGTACAACTGTCAAATGTCACTTCTCAGCTGCAGTAAAACATCAGATTTGTTTTATCCTCTGTGATTTACTGGTACTGGGTTTTAAATACCAGTTGCCCTGACCGTAGCCACACAGTTCCTCTGACAAATGTATGTTCTACAGTCAAAAGAGTGATATAAATTAAGTACATTAACATGCTTCAACATCCTCTACCAACAAGACTGTTAGTGATTTTCACAAACTAGAAGGAAAGACAAACCAATTTCAAGCAAGTTATCTGTAAATTCTGTGTCTTAAGAAAGGACCTGAGAGCATTTAGGGTCCAATTAACTTGAGACTTAGCTTTGGACCACAGGGAGACCAAAAAGCCCCTTCAGAGAAAGGTTCACAGTGGACAGAATTGCCATTGACTGTAGAAGTCTTTCATGACCATGCTTCTAAGTTGTGTATCTGATGACTGCTGCCGAGTCAGATAAACTGAGGTACGTAAACCTGGATCTGGGATCCTCTTCATGGGGGCTTGCACCTAAATTAATGCCCAGAAAATGGCAACTCCCACTCCTTGGTTTTCTCGAGGTACTGGTTGCAATTCTAAACAGTGCAGCTGGGCATGGTGGGCAGGGATATCACAAGGCAACATCTCAACAGTGATCTTCAGTACTCACCCAGACACCCAGAAATTTCACCTTTTATAAACATCCAACCTTTGAGGAACTCTTAACGTTTTTGCAAGTAATTTTTTCTTTCCATGTCAACATTTGTTACACAAAGTAGCTGAATGCTAATGCATGTTGTTCAAAGAAGAGTGTTTCCATTTGTTTCTGCTTTGCTATTGTGGTTTTAGATAAGAGTTAAAACTACAAGTGACATCTGTCACTTAATCTATCATGCAAACATCAGCACGTCAGATTCAGTCTAAATTTAAGATACACTATCAAAACCAACTAGCACATTATGAAAGGAACAAAATGAATTTTTAGCCACTGAGATCTGTCATATGCTTCATCATTCTGAAAAAAAATTGAAGTTATGATGAGGAAATCTCTAACGTACAAAAGCAACTTCAAATAACTGAAAAAATGAATTGTACTATACAAATGCCTGGGGTTATCCTGCAACTTTTCACAGAATAAGGTCCCAAGAACAGTAGGGATATTTTTAACTGATAAATTTATTTGACTGACAAACAAAGTTAACAGAAACGGGTTGTTCCGCCAATGGAAATTACACCATGATTTACCGGTAACACACATTGTTAACATACTGTTGCACGAGCTCAGCACTTAACTGAAAGCCAATCCTGATTTTCCATTAATTTACAGAGTTGTTTCTCCTAAGCTAATATTCTCGGGTGCAAATGATGCATTCTCAAACTCCAAAGCATTTGATTTTAGCACTCAACTTTACAATTTCAAATATTCCTATTTGAATTTGAATTCAAAACTAGTTTTGCTGCTGTCTTGGAGAGAAATCATGCAGGAGATGAAGTATTCCCCAGTGTAAAAAGCAACCATTAC